CCCCCCCCCCCCCCCCCCCCCCCCCCCTCCGCGTCCTTCTCCCATTCTCTTTATTTACTCTCTGTAAGAGATGGAGGCATTCAGGAAATAGCCCGAGCAGTATCAAATACCAACAGGCACCATTTGTTGGCAAGACTGTTGATGACCACCTCCTTCTAGAATTGCTTAAAAGCAAGCCGGTGGCGAAAACAATGTGAAATCGAACAAAAATAAAAACAAAATGAATGAATATTTAACAAAAATAACTGTTGAAAAATGAACAAAAAACGAGGCAATTCAAGACTGCCCGGAAAAACAAATGTTCGAATTCCACTTAAGTGGTGTTACTGGAATGCTCCTACACGCCAGTCGCAGCTATGCCAAACCTTTAGGTACTGAATTATATACATAAACTCTTCGATATACGCATGCAGCCTTTTAGGAAATTAAACAAAAATAAAATGGTGGATCAAAAATCGAGCAGTTTCCTTACCTCAGCCTTCAAAATCCAGCTTTGCCACTTGCCATCCGCTACTTCAACAGGCTCAATTATTGGCTCCCAAACACAAAATGTTTCGTTGTAATATGACAACTGGAAGAGCGAAATTTAACAATTATATCAAAAAAAAAAAACAGAAAAATTTTTCTGCACCAAGTATGGAAAATGATAATTTCTGAGGGGGCAAAATAAACGCCCGTATTACCGGAAAAATAACTATCAGACATTGTAGCACTGGCCAAAACAACTGGGACAATTGTTAGACTGCAGCCAGACTAAGAATTAAAAATTTTTCCAGAAATTTTAGGCAATGACGTGAAAAGAACGTAGTGCTACGCCAAACTGTGATAACGTAGTAGTGGAAGTTCAAACACGTCACCGCGACTTTTGTCGATAAAAGCATAAACAGAACTGAGAAATGTGAATAAGAGCTTCGCAAAAGATTTTCTTAAAGCGAAAAATACAAGTAAAATATACCCTCTCCTTCCAAAAAAAAAACGCGAGTACCTGTAATCGAAGATCGGCATCAACAGCCAAAAGTGCACTCCATTGTG